TATAGTTCAACCAACCATGCTCCGAACTCACCCGCGACGTGTCGGGCAATTTTACGGCCGCACGCACAGCTCATGGTGAACTAGTATAAGGTTGACCCATGAGAAGCTCATTTTTGCGGATGTAGTTCGTTGTTCGCCTGTGACGTCACTGATCTCAGTGACGTCACGGCAGTCAACCAATCACCGAAATGCGGTCAAACCAGTCAACCAATCCGTCATGGGAATGACGAGTTTGTTTACGTTTCTCGATCTACATGACGTAACAAGAAAGCTGAACTGAAAGACGGAACTTCTCGTGGGTCAACCTTATATAGTTCAACCATGGCACAGCCAGTCCCCAAAAAAATTCACAAGAATTGTAGAAAATTAACTCGTTTGCCGATTTAATTGGATTCCTTGCACATAAATTTGTTTGATTTTTCCAAAATTCCAGTGTTTAGGATCAAACATTGCAGAGAAGCGAGCACATGTTGTGAGTTGTGACTTGTGCATGTGTACGGCAGTATAGGTCGGAACTTGGAGTGGCTGTCGTGTTCCACGGCTCCGCCGTGGCATGTTCTCTTCTACTGATGCTAAGAGGTTAGAGGAGGGAGAGTTTGAGTTAGGCAAGGTGCAGGACATAAGGCGAAAATTTTAAAAAGCCAAGAGACACAAGTAAAAAATCTTTAAGAGGCACCACACTGCAGGTGGACGGTGGTGTACTGATTAACACGTTAAGTGCGGCAACGACCCACAGCGCTGGCAACTGGCCTAAAAACGGCCAAGTTTGCTGCTAAAAAGGCCTATAATTCAAAATATACTAGTAAATTTGTAGGTTCAGGTGCAAAAATTTAATTTTCCTTTTTTCGTACATTTTATATTTTAATGAGGCAGTACTGCCATCATAAATTTTTGTCTACAAGCACAATTGAAAAAAAACTAAATTGCGGAATTTATCCGTAAAAGAGACCCTGCCAGGCTGCCACCCACCCGGTGACCGGGACCCGTGGGTCATCCCGCACTTAACGTGTTAAAAAAAACGGAATCCCATACAGTGTCAAGTGAAAACTTAAAAGTGAGCCTCTGATGCAATCATGCAAGTATAACCCAAAACCCTGTCGTGGGGGTAGGGCTGCCCGGCTGCATTGGACTAGTATTCAGACTTTTCAGAGGCTCCCGCAAATCTGAAAAAGAATGATAGAAACTTGAAGCTGATTAATCTTTGGGAATTCCAGTTTGAGCTGGGGGTCAATGGCTAACGGTGGTAACTTGGTACTGGCATAGTGGCAAACCAGAGCTTTTTTGGAATCAGTTCATTTTTAATTTTCCCAAAACTCAAGATTTAAACCAATTTCTTAAGTATGATAATGCTGGTATCCAGGATACTTTACTGGTCTACTTATAGGACTCTAAAAAATCGGTTTTCCGATGCCGACCGCCAAAAATGGATTTCAGATTCGTAATCTACACCCCAAAAAACATATAATTAAAAAAAAAAAACACCCTTTTTTTTGGATGTAGTTAATCTGCAATAATACCAACTTTTATATAAATCATCAGCAATAGGATTCATCATTCATGGCTAACCTTGAATTTATTGTGGAAGTGTACCTGTACCATAGCCTAGGTGGTGCTGTGGCGGAGGAAGAGCATTGGGCCTTCAAATGAGAGCCTGCACTCTCGGCTCTCCTTGCCAGGGTGCAGAGAGTGGATGCAGCGTCGCCAATATATGGGTTTTTAAGCCTTAAGCATCGCCGGGTAATTTTAAAATGCGTTGCCGGGTAATTTTTAATGAAAAGCCATTTACGCTGAGTAATGAAAAACCATTTACAAGCCACGAACTTATTTACAAGGTTGCATGCACATGTTACCCCAAATAACTAATTTTACCCTAAAAACAGTCCAATTGTATAGCAAGTGTCAACTGAACATGTGATAATGCAGTCTGACCGCTCTAATGTGACCACAACTACGTAATCGTAAACTTGATGTTTACATTTTTTGGGCGGGAACTCATCGCAACTGATTTCCGGACAAGCTTCACTGCATCCTGATTCATCCAACATACCAGAAACCTTACTTTTTTTCAATAGTTGGCCAAAGACTGACAAATATATTAAATGCAAGAATTTCAATCTAAATGTGTCGGCAAGATCTTCTGAAGGTGTAAATTTTGCTACTGAAGTGTTGCCAAAGATCTTGCAATATTCATCCACTCTCTGCACCATGGTGCAATTCAAAGGTCATTATAAATGACCAACGTCCTATGGAGTCTATGAACGCAGTACCCAAGAAGGAGGAATGGCCCACACAACCTCACTCCGTGGTAAGCAGTGGTGAACTGGATCCGCACGCTCGGTCTAACTTCGCTGCATCGCTTGCCCACTGGACTCAATCACTCAAGCAATGTATAATGACGGTCCTTGAGTTAGTGTAATCTTTGAACACATTTTGATACTTTACAAATAACATTCTACACACACATATATTGTTGATGTATTGGATTTAGAAGTTAATGACAACGATTTCCCACATTTGATAAGTGCATTGTGCAGCAATCATCACCAGCAACTGAGTGTGCACTATGTACTGAAATAAATTATGCAGCAAATCTTAAAAAAACACGATTTGAAAATCATAACGTGCAAATTCAGGTTATTCCTTTGAGTCGCAGAGGCTTGTTTAATGTAAAGCTTCAAATTCAGAGAAAATTTGTTACGATAAACAGAACAAAGCATCAATTGTTTGCCTTTTTCACATTGATAGTCTTAGAACTGTACTTTTATCAAATCTGAGGGTGATTGAAATCTGATTGAAAATCAAATCTGAGGCTGATTGAATAAAACAAATACTGAAAACAAAACTGTAATACTAATAATACAGCAGGCATCATTTTAGATGCAAATAGAAACAAGCATGACAAATGTCCCTTTGCCTATTTGTCACACTTGAACAAATGAATAAGCAAAGAAAGTTACCTAGAACATTGAAATTTGCTAACTGAATACATTTTTTTTCTCAGCCTGGAACAATACCTTTTTATCCACGTAAAAGATTTTTAAAATGCAGCTCCATCAAAGGAGCTGCATTGCAAGATTAAAAAAAAATGCATTGCAAGATTTTCAAGTTGCAACATGTTGCAACTTGAAGTAATGTAAGGAACTAATCTGTAATTCATGTTAGTATTTGAAGTTTGAAAATCTTGACCAAAAAATGGCAAAACATGAAGAAATTAAATTCATAACTAAGTTACCAATACTTATATATGAGCTTCAGAGATTAATAAAAATAATTATCTAGAACCTTGAAACTATGAAAAATCTCAGAAGCAACATTGGTTCTAATTACAAGCAAAAGGGTTTCCAATAGCATTACAAAATTGAACGGTATTGCCGGTATGAGATGAGAGGGATTCTTCTGATTCAAGACAAACCTCTTTTATTGTGTTAATGACTTGGTTTGCTAGTTCCTGAGCAGTACCTATCTCCTGCTACTTCATCAGTAATTGACTGATCCTCAGTATGACAAGAGTAAACCTTAGGAGCCCCAATTGGCACTGCCTTCTTCACACCATTGGGGTTTATGATCAACATGATGGCATAGTTAGTTTCCCTCCCAGCCTCCCAGGCATACTTTTGTCGCATGCACTAGCAAAATGTGGGGGAAATCCAGTACTTGCTAGGGGAGTTATCAGGTAAGCATGCATGCCAAGTCAACATGGACCAAGTAAAGCTTTGCAAAGATGCTTCAATTGTTTGCTGTAAATGTTGAGATTTTATTCAAAAATCCATATTTTTCAGTACATCAAACTATTTTACACCATTCTTTATTGAATAAAATACATTTCTTTGATAATAGTTTTTTAAGATTGAAATTGTTTGCTACATGTTGTGTTTAAAATATCATTTTAATAATTGCTACTTCGCTATTATTGGAGTTGATAGCAAAAGACTGCATTGTAAATGCTGCATGACATCCAAAGCAGAAAAAATATAGCTTACCATGAATGCTGTAGAGTCCCCACATCTAAACCAAGACCTGCTAAGGGTGCTATGATATTTTTGTAGTTTACTCCTGTCGACGTCACCTTGATGCAAGCCAAAGCAGCAGACACATGAGACTGCCAGTTTTAGTACTTGGCTTTGCTCCTCCATTTTTTCTTTGAAATCAAGGACAGCTTGAACGTGAGCATCGCCACTTGATGATGCACCGAGAAGATGGTCAACAATTTTATGACAGATGCTGTAAAATTTCTGCAGTGCATCTCTGAGGAACCAAGTTCAGTCACCTCAACACAGAAACCACAGCAAAATTCCTCTGAAGATTCCACTCTGCAAAGAATAGAATAGGTCAGCTGAAGTGGGAACAGTGTGATTGCAAATATGGGAGCAAAATATTGAGCAGAGGCATTTCTAGGTAAAATTGAAGTGGTTCAAAGAATTGAATGTTGTTATTCTAAGTGCAGCAGTCTGTACAAAAATGAGGATTTAATTCTATAAGCGAAAAAAAAGTTAAATGATACAAATATCTCTCACAATAGTTCAAACTCATGCTCTGCCACAGTTAAGTTTTCCTTGCAGTCCAAATGCATGCCTACTATTCCAAATAGGATCAGAATTATGATTTGTATGGTTTGACTATAAGTTGTTTTGATTATGCTAAAAAGATGTGGTTCAGTTTTTTTTATAAAATGGATTGTTTTTATTGAAGGCCTACAATTTTATTGCTGCTGGTGAGCTTATTGGCATTCATGGTACTTGTTAACAGTTATTGTTTTATGAATAAATCTGTTCTCTGCATAGTAGTTTGCACCCAAATCAACTTAGTCAAGCAACTGACTGATTTTGCAATGGCATATTTGAGTTTTTGATACTGCCATCACAAATTCTGATGACATAATTTGATACTTCATGGTTGTTTTAAAGTTGTCTTAGAACTAAATTGAAAATATTAATGAACATGTATATTGTTTTGTAGATAGAATACCTGTGTCCAGTGTTAATTTTTTTAAATGTATTTTTTTTCCTTCAGAAATTATTAAAACAAAGTTTTTCTACATTTCTTGCTAGCTTATACAATGCATATTAAAGGAACTACATATGACAACCCTCCTGATGAAGATTCTACATTGCTCAAGAAAAAGCGTCAAAGAATCAAAAAAGAGAAAAAAATTATCAAGCGTCAAAATAAAAAAACTGCCATTCAGGATCAGACAATTTCCAGCTCATCTGAAGTAAGCAAGACATGTTATGGTAGTAAAAAAATTTCTCATCATTCAAATTTTTTTGAAATATTTTATCTTCTCCTGAATTTATCCCATGTCAGAAAATTTAGAACCTTAAACTTTTTTTAATAAACTGAGTTTTAATTTCTTGCATGTATTTCTATATTACAGGTTGCTGGGGAAGATAGTCATAATGAATGTCCTGAGTCAGCTGAGCCACAACTTATCAAGAACACCAGGCAGGAGAAAAGCTTGGCCTTCTCTGCACTCTGGAACAACTACATCCCGATGCCCACCATGCTGGCCAGACAAGATGGCTGGTACCTTGAGGTATGAGCTTCCTTTGCATGCATTATTTCTCTACGTGACTTTTGATATGAATTATGTATATAAATAATTTTCTGTTTTGAATTAATTGACTTGATTGAACACATCTGAACTTTGTTTGTGATTGAATTATTTTTCATTTTCTTACATTCAAAAATATATTTGATGAAAATGTTGTTAAATTTTGAATTTTTTTGTGTAGTATTGACTTTTGAAGATTTCCTTCTTCTGTTACAGATACCAATAGAGGTATCTGCACCTAAAGCTATAGTCAACATAGAGACACGAACAAAGTTGAAGGAATTTGCAGCGGAACTCTACAAAAATGAGCTTGTTCAGTATGAGAAATGTACGTATCAATGTTTAACTACTTACGGATTGACTATATTTCTTATCAGCAATTATGCTAAATACTGGCTTCATTGCTTTGTCAATTCCTGCAGTATTTTCATGCTCACTTTATTGTAGTTTTCCCGAGTAAACCTGTTCTTTAACTGTGGTGATTAAAATTGTCTGCATTTTGTTAGCAAATCACAGAGTTTCCATGGAACAGGTTCTCAAATTTACCCAAGACATTTCTCTAGTCCCTTTTTAAATATTTAATTATTTTATTGTGGTAAAAACCATCTGCTTGTGTTATCTTCATAAGACATATTTTATAATATACCATGCATGTTTTTAGCCAGACATGTCATACACTAATGCTGTAAATGTGCTTTTTATCGCATTTTCTCATTTATTGAAAAAATGCATGATTGTGCTCGCCATGTCCGTCTGTCCGTGCCATGTCCGTCTGTCCGTCATGTTTTCGTCGACGAGAAAATGCGCTCTCTGTCACTCACTGCAGTGAGTACTGAGTTATATTTTTTTCAACTATTTGTTTAATTGTCCAGATGAGGAGAACAGCGGCGACCGTGATATCCGTTTCCGGCGCCAAATTTTTGCCCAGGGCGCCATGAAGGACAGGATAACGGCACACATCTTGCAGCTCACAGAGTGGCCTGTCCAGTCATTGAGTCACTTGGCCAAGCTGTGTGATTTTGTGTCTGCAAATAAAGAGAGTCATCTTAAAGAAATATTGAGTAAGAACTCAGTACAATTTTAATGAAAATATCCTCTCCAGCTCTGACTTTCAAATATGTCTCTTCTTACCTCAGGGATGTATGAAGTTGTACTTATTGAGAAGAAATATGGTTAGACTTTTATTATTGATTTATGAGTCATGCTTTTGCTAAGAAATACTTTTGAATATTCTGAAATGAATTTTGTTTAATAAGAGAATCAATAGACCTTTCAAAAATTTTGTAATTATCATGTTTTTTACTGATCTTTCATTCTTGCTTGCAGAAAGCTTGACGGAGGTACTGAACAACTCTCTGTTGCCTAAAGGTTTAGTAGCAAAACAATTTGAAGAGCATGATTTTAAGAAGTTCCTGCAGCCTCTCATCACAACGGACAGGCAGAAGGCGTACACAATACTCATGCTTTGGTACTATGAAGACCAGCTGAAGCTTCTCTATACTCGCCTTGTAACTGCTCTTAAACAAGTGAGAGTTTGTGGCAGTGTACCTACTTCTTGTTAATATAACAAATATTAATAAACATGATGTCTTTCTTCATGAAGTGTAAACTGATACCTATAAAGGTGTTGTAGGACATTTCTTAGTAGACATATAATTGATAATAAAAATAATATAGTCTTTGATTTAATATTATATTGGTTTTATAGTTAATATATTTGCTATGATTTCCTACCTACTGCTACGTTTGCAGTAGTGATAAATGAGTACCTGGCTTGTCCAGGGTGTTGTGTAATGCAATCAAAATGGTTCTGGCGGGTCAGCGAGCCAGTGATGGTCGTAGAACTACCAGTGGTACCAAGTGCCTGGAAAAACTGACCTATCACCTGCTAGAGTTCAGTTTTTCCGAATTAAACTTGAAATTTGCTCCTTTAATGACTTAAGCTTGAAATTAAAATCTTTTCGNTAAAATTCAATAAAATGAAGCCTTTTGTGGCTGATACCGTGATGCAACTCTCTTCAAAAAGAACGCTTCATTTACAACATAATTTATTTCAAAACTGACCTATCACCCTAGTCGCCACTACCAGGATGGGCAATTACAACAACGTTTGCAGTAATGCTCATAATTTTGCAGGTGGTGTCGTCTGGTAGCCCCTCTGCGAAGCTGACGGCCGTGCAGCTGCTGCTCCAGATGCTGGGTAATCATCCTAAGCAAGAGACTGAGATAATCTTGCAGGTAATCTATCCTGGTTTTACTATTTCTATTTCATGGGTAGCATTTTTAGCAGAAAGATTAAACTTCAGCTAAATATTGCCTGTATATTTATTTTAGCATTTTTACTACAGGTTATACTGCCGCATTCATGCCTTATCCGCCGATTCATGCACATGGGTTAAAATTGGCTATGTATTGTGACAAAATTTGTTTAGATAATTACTTCAACTATTTTGTGCATCAACCAGAATTTTGACTAATTTCATTCACACCTTAAAAGAAGTTGTGCTGCTTTGAAAATTCAATATTGCGTTCGCGTATTTTTCTTTATAAGATATAGAACATGCTGGCAGTCTTGAAAATTAGTAAACTTCTACTCCGCTTCTTTGTTGGCAGTAAACGCGGTACTAGCCGGTCGTGATTTTAATTGGTGTTCTTGTTTTGTTTAGGTTGTTACTTGATCAATTATGATGTCAAAGTTATACGTAGGTAATCTACCTACCGATGTCACAGAGGACGCTCTAAGAGAGCTATTCTCTCAGCATGATATAGAAGACTCTTGCTTGAAACTTCTCTTGCATCAGGTGTTGACCAACAAACTTGGTGATTTGGATAAATCGGTGGCCAACGCCGTCATCTTCGGAGTGCGCAATTTGATCATCAGGCGACCTGCTCTCAAGAACACGCTTGTCGACGTCTGTGCAGAGTTCCTCTTCAGGTGACATATTGTAGAACACGCTTGTTGACGTCTGTGCAGAGTTCCTCTTCAGGTAACATATTGTAGAACATGCTTGTCGACGTCTGTGTAGAGATGAAAAAAAACATGCATACACTAAGTCTATGGCCACTTTTTGCTAACTCTAAAACAAAACAAAAATTATCTTAGACATCAGCATTTGATCCTTAACATGATTACTGAAACGCTTAGCTGTTAAGGATGAGATTAACGTGTTGTTTCTTCACTTGAATGTTTTGTGACGTGCAGACCAAACCAGCGCAAGAACACCCAGTTAAACTGTATCCAACTTCTGAAAGACGTCTTCTTTACTAAGGATGACGTGGGCCTCGTGCAGAAAATGATCAGGCTTTATTTTGGCTTCTTCAAAGCCTGCACTAAAACTGTAAGTTTACTTCTAAATCGAGTTATTGCATTGAGTATAAATTTTGTAACTTCTGACTTCTTGTTATTGTGTTAATCCGATGAAAATAGTGTCAATAGATCTAGTAAATATTAGCCTTCAAGGATCATAACAATACAGGTCCGAGAATCACTTATCTAAATCACATACTTAGTAAACGTGTTAATCTAACACACTTATTCCATGATACACTCAATTTAAACCAGCGCCGGATATGTGTGCCTCACCCCATATGTGTGTTATATCATATATCCCTCGAGTGAGGTTGTCTCAAAATATTTCCATAGTGAGGTTATATCGCAAATCACCATAATTAAGTTTTATTAAATATTCCCTTACGAGGTTACATTAAATATTCCAACCTTGAGGTTGTCCCCGAATGTCCCTATATTGAGGTAGTATTAGCAGTTTTATAGTGAGGTAAATTAGTAATCTAGTATCTTCAAATACTCTATTAGTCATGTTTTATGAAAAATTGTTGAAGTTCTATTCAAATGTTGGAGTTATATGAGATTGTAAGAGAGTGTCTAAAATATTCTTGTATGGAAGTTGTTTCAAATATTCTGTATACTACAAATATACTAATATTTTATACTACAAATATACGTTTTACTACAAATATATATTATACTACAAATATACAAAAATTCTTTATACATAATGTACCTATTCTACCAAGTATTTCCATAATTAATTTTTATCAAATATTCAAATAATGAGGTTGGCTTCCTTCTATATTCTCAGGGTGAGGTAGACGGTAAACTGATGTCAGCGATATTGCGGGGCCTGAACCGTGCTTTGCCCTACGCTACGAACGCTAAAGGCAGGGAAGGCAGCAGCTTCCTAGAGGAGCAGTTTAATATGCTTTACAAAATAGTGCACTTCACTAAGTTCAACATCAGCGTGCAAATTCTGCAGCTTCTTTACCAAGTCCTTGTCAATATGAACCCTGATGGAGCTTTGCCTGAGAGGTTAGGTCAGGATTATGACAGTTTATTATTATTTTTACGATGTCGTTAATTGTCCATATAATTGAAGTGTGGCCAAATCCCGCTTTAGAACAGGAAATAGAGTACTTATCATTTTATTTGGTTCCTGTATTTATTCGAAAGCTTTTATGTTCACATCACTGTTTACAATAACAAACCTACTTTATTCATCCAGTAGTTTTCAGATTCATATAACCATGTACATCAAAATAGGTACTCTATTTATCCCTTAGTTTCTCCTATTCCAATAACTATTGAGGACAAGGTACTTTATTTATCCAGTAGTTTGTCATATTCCAATAACTATTGAGGACAACGTACTTTATTTATCCAGTAGTTTGTCATGTTCCAATAACTATTGAGGACAAGGTACTTTATTTATCCAGTAGTTTGTCACGATCCAATAACTATTGAGGGCAACGTACTTTATTTATCCAGTAATTTTTCATTTTCCAATAACTATTGAGAACAACATATATTGAACATACTTTATTTATCCAGTAGTTCGTCATTTCCCAATAACTATTGAGGACAACATACTTTATTTATCCAGTAGTTTTTCATGTTCCAATAACTATTGAAAACAACACACTTTGATTTTCTCGCAGTTGATTACCCAGTAACTATTGAAATCTAACACTCAGATATGAACGCGTGCTGTATGAACGGCTGCTGTGCCCCGAGCTCAGCCGGTGTGCGGTTGCGGGGGCCTTCCTGAACGTCGTCTTCAAGACCATGAGTCGCATGCAGTGCCCCCAAACCCTCACCGCCTTCGCTAAGCGTCTTCTTCAGGTATTAATTTCAGTAATATTCTGGATCCATACTTTCCAAAAAAGTTAAGAGATCGTAAGTTCATCAGCCAATCATTGACGGCCTTTCAAGCAAAATCCACCAATCATAGACAATAAAATAGTGCGTAAGTACTTACGTTAACTTAGCAGCGAGTTTTGAAAGTATGGCCCCAGATTTACATTATAATACCTACATCATTTCTGAGGAGCTTTTTCCGTTTGTCTTTCGATCCTTGTTTTCACTTGGCATAGTATTCCATATATGTTGACTTTCGGGTGACAAAAACATGTTTCCAATTGCCTTGAGTTGCGAATCGTAATTTTTAAACGTAGAAAGAAAGAGTTGCAACTAGGTGCTCAGTTTACATTCCATTTGGTTGTCACCTAAAATAGTTAAATCTTTCGAGCAAATCTTTAATCCTGCAAACTTGAGCAATTTTATTCAAAACGCAGAAGCTAATTATTTATGCTTATTATTGCCTATTCAGATATCGTTCTATCAGCCGTCCCACTTGGCCATCGCCATGGTATTTGTGCTACGGGAGACTGCGGTTGACAACGCGCTCTTACGGGACTTTCTGAGGAAAATTGATGCAAGAAAACCGACAAGGCTGCCGTCTGCTAAAGCATCTATGCAGGCAAAGAAGCCTGTTGTTAGAAATAACTCAGCTGGTTCTTACGCTGAGCCTGACGAGTTTTTTTATGATCTCGATGTTGAGGCTAACGACAAGGTGAGTCAAAAGAAAATATACATGAGCAAGATTTTCATTGTAAGTACGAATTGAATTATGTATTATGATGTCATTTTTTAGTATGTTAGGAGTCAAACTTATTTTTTAATTTCTCTAATTAAATATTGTCAAACATTAAAATTTTGCGGCGCTCTTTCCCCTTCTAAATGAGTTGAAGTGCATTTTTCAACACAAAACAAAAAATAGGGAAAGTATTCGTTTCACTCGTCATGCCGGTCACAATTTCAATTTACTGTGTTACATCGCCACGTTCTGTTGTGCAGAAAGGTAGCACATCGGCAGGGAGAGGCAAGAAAAACTCGTCCCGCTTCCCTCACATGGTCGGTAAAGTAGAATTGAAAAAGAGCGCGTCTGACGACCGCGAGTCTGGCAGTGCTGGCCAGCGTCGGCCGACACGTAACGACGAGCCAGTCGCGTACGACGCACACCACCGCAACCCTAAGTACAGCGGCGCCGACACCACGCAAGTCTGGGAACTGCGCAACGCTTTGGTAAGAGAACTCGCTCAGCATTCAACTCTTGTACATAGTCGTTTTTTATCTTTGTTGTTTTTAATTTCTCTTTTTTGTATTCACTAATTTTTTGGCACCTTGATAACAGAACTAGCACGGCCTCCGACTGTTGTACCTAGTCGTTCTTATATATTTTAATATCTTTGTTATGCCCACTTTTGAACTTTTTCTCAGTGCCCTCAATATGTATTGTTCTGATTGTATAAGAAATATTATTTTGATAATATCCAAAAATCGATCAACACTCGACCTATTCACTGCCGCGGTCACTAAATTATAAGGATCTTTGACTCGCAGCATAAGAGTAAATGTGTAGTGTGTGTCATGATCTCCATTTGTGGGATCAATATCAAGGTAAAATTTGGGGGAAACTGTTGTTTATTTGCCACAAATCAATTTTTTCTCACTTGTGTCATGTAGGAAAAAGGAACACAAGGAAAAAAACTATTGGTATTTATCTGCTTTACTTGAGGTAATTATGACGTAAGACTCGGTGTGTGAGTTAAAATTGAGATAACTGCATGATAATTTGCACGAGACATTTTTCTTCGATCAATAGTGAGTGTTGAAAAGACTCAACTTATTCAAATAATATTTGTATGACAATTTTAGTTTTAATAACTAACAATCATGCCTAAGAATACTCGTCATTTAGTCGCACGACCTGTCACTTTACTTGGCCACCGTAATTTCCTACTCATTTCATCTCTTCAAGTTCATGAAATGCTAATATCAGCAGATTGACAACCCTCCGCATTATTTTTAATTTAATATGTAATGCCCTCTTTCAAGGTGGTTTAGATAATCATCATAATAGATAATCTTTGTACGATATTATGAAAAAAAAAATAATAATAATTCACTCTTGAGCAAGAAGGTTGTTTAATGAGTCCTTTGTTTTTACATTTTTTAATATGTCCATGTCAGAACCACTTCCACCCCTCGTTGGTGGCGTTCACCAAGAATCTGGTGGAGAATGAGCACACGAAGTACGCTGGCGACCCTCTCATCGACTACTCGCTCATCAAGTTCTTGGACAGATTCGTAAACAAGGCTCCCAAAAAAATTACCAAGACCAAAACAGGTGACTTGTGACCAGAGGTTATGATCCAATGACTATTACGTCCAGTCATTAAGTGTCCATTACATTATTAGTCATAAAGTGTGATTTTATTCGAGGTTACACTACAGCATTATCAGCTTAAAGTATTATTTATTAGTGGTTACACTAAGGCATTATGAGCCATGAAACATGGTATGTTATCGTCAACTATGCTGAAATTAGTCAAACTTTCATTGAAGTCTGAAGAGTTGGCAAGGATGCTATTTAGAAAATCAACTCTCTGATTTATAAATTCATTCGGCAATTCAATATGTATCTTATTAACCATGAAATTGCTGGAGCATTATTTTTTCTTAAATTTCTGTTGTTGAAGTTGTCCAACCTGGCTGTGGCCATTGAGGATTTATTTTTATTATTGATCTATTCAACTTAATTCAATAATTAATTTGAATTTCATTTTAAATAATATATTGGCCTATTTAATAATTAATTGGAATGTAATTCAAATTATATTTATAATAATTTTATTACGTTCAGGCGGAGGCGCGGCAGCACTGGGCGCCAAGAGCGCCTACAGCGGCGACAAGAAGCGCACGTCTTGCGTCACTTCAGACTACTTCCTCAGCCTGCCTGAGCACCGCGTGCCTGCAGACGCCTTGTTCTTCCACAAGTATGTCTTGATAACGTACCAGTTTGTTCCTAGTGCTCTATCACAATGTTTTTCAATTATATTGAAAAATTAATGACCGCGACCCATGAACTTTCTTGCCACAAGTTTGTGTTTTTTGAAGCCCTCTCCCTTTACTAATTATCTGGCACAAGTTGCGTAAGTATATTACGACTTGTTACGTATTATGACTTATTATTGAATTATTGTCTGTGTTGTTGACGTACTCTTCTGCTACTGTCTGATACAAACTAATGAATTATCTATACGTGTATATCTGTACAGTCCTACAAGGGTTAAAGTATTCAAGTTTTTATATAATTAGTCTGTTTAAATTGCAAGTTCACAATTTAAAAGCAATGAATACGCCAAGTAAATTCGTTAGCAAATTCGTAAGTGGGAAACTTTTTCATGAAGATATGGTGAATTTACTTGGTGTTGTCTTTGTTTTTAAATTTTAGGTTAAAGTATTTAATCATAACACTTGGTAAACGGATGCAATTTTCGTGCAGATACTTCACATCGCACAAAGCCAGGTCTTCTCGAGCCGCCAAATCGGAGCAAGACGACGACGAGTGTGAAGATTTGGACGAGGAAGAATTTGAACGCTACCTTGAGTCGGCGGCGGGCAAGAAAGGCGTCACACAGAACCCTTTCCAGCACGACGACGAGCTCGACGATGAGTGGGACTTTGCTGCCAACGCTAAGGCTCGTGGTAACAGAGGTGAGCTTAGTGAACGTCATCACAAGGGTCAGCATTGCTGGTCACTTAGACCGAACATTCACTATTTCTACGCTGGAATATTCTGGAAGACTATGAACATTTACTATTTATTTATCTATAATTAATTAATTATCTATTAAAGCGTAATCATCACACAACTGCCTGTGCAGTATTTTAGTTCATAACTTCCTAGGTTGCGTCTTATTTCCTAATTACTTTTTACATCTTTAGTTTACACCGCATGTCTTAGTGTAACGGAAATTGAAGAAAGGAATTCATGACATACAAATAATTTGATTGAGGAATTGTCGTGATTCCTCATCGACATAAGCAATAAAATCCATCCTGAAAAAAAAAACGAAAGAATTTGAGTTTAGTGTCTCCAGGTTACTTCTTAAGAAGAAGATCAAATTATCTTGCAGAACATCGAAATGATTACTCATATATATCTTGTAAAAGTTTTGCAGGTTTTTATCTTATAATTTAATAAAGTCTGCCTCATTAGCTTAATGACTAAGGTTCATGCAGGCTTGTGTTTTTTTTTATGTTTCAAATCACAAAGCTGCAATATTTAATGCTAGTCTTTCTTCAGATGATGATGACAGCGATTTAGGATCGGACGTCAGTGATGTTGATGAAGAGGAAGAAGGCAATGAGAACCAGAGTGATGACGCATTGAGCTTCGATGGGGACCAGGATGATGTTGAGGATTTGAATGATTTGGATGATGAAAACTTCAGTGACGATGACTCGAGAGATGATAGTGGCGACGATTTCAAGGATGATGACGAAGCAGACTTCGGCGACGAGTTTGATGACTTAGACGATGCTGAAGACCACGGGCACATGTTCCTGGACGATGAAGAGATGGAAGAAAAGCCCCAGCAAGCCAGGAAAAAAATTGAGAAGAAACTCAAAGCCGTCGCTGATAAGAACAAGAGAGCTAAGCAGGCAATCAAGAATGAAAGGGTAAGGGAAAGCGCACAGGCTGAGAAGAAAAACAAGAGCGTTAAGAGTACATCAGACAAGAAGAAGAGCAGCAAGAGGAAGAGGGATAATGATGAGTGGACAAGTCTTGATGGCAATGGTAAGGGCAAAATTGAGAGTTTCTTTTCACGTGTTAGCATGATGTGATATATGTTATTTCTAAACCTTTTTTTTTATTTTCAAATATATTTTTGATCCATTCATAAATTGCAGCGCATCCAAAGTTACAAAGCCCGGTTTGAACAAATTCTCTGACATTGAACTCATGTCTCTATTGTGTATCCTGAAATAAATAATTATATCATCAATATAATGTTCGCCATTATTCATTAATGTTCTATCTGAAAAAGTAGTTCCTGATCTATTGTTTTCCAGAAGCGGAATAAAACTTTTTTATTCATGATTTTTATTGCAGATTCTGGAGATGATTTTGGCCTAGACTCTCGCAAGATGAAGAAACTGGATGACATGGTGGTGAGTTGCTTTAATAGGACCTGTCTTGCCAGTTTACTAGAAGTTTTTACTGAGATACGTTGAACTTATTCATACTTCTACGCATATTCAACTCTACATTAATTGAACGATCATCTCCACTTTATTGCATTAGATATTTAGGAAATCAATGATATGATAATGATGCACTACTACAACATTTCTTTAGTGATTACTTGGCCACAATATTCACAGTTTGGTAAGAGGAAAGAACGCTCAGCGCGATCCCTTGACGACATGATGATGGATGCTGATGAGTTCACCGAGCTGCTCCAGAGCAACGAGATCCGCGCGCCTGCCATCACGAGCTCTGACTTCGTCAACACCTCTGGCATTAGTGAGTCGCATCTCGAATTATTGTCGTAAATCCAACACTCTGATTCCTCTGGATCAAATATGCTAGAATGTGTGAATTCACTCTGATTTGTGTACAACAATATGTCTGTTGTGTCGATAATTCATGGTAGGCCTACGTCCTCACAAAAATTTACGACATATAACATTCTATCAATGTTGTTAAATAACAGAAAAAATACATCACATTTAGTTTTTGGAATTCAATTTAGTGGTGATCAAAAAAGTTACCATAACATACGTGGAAATTATTTGTAGTTTTCTGTCGCAGTTCACGTATTGCTACCGACTACACAGATACTTCGTACCATGATAAGAATCTATACTAATCTATATCCGTCCACAGGTCAAAATCAACTGAGGTGGGAGAGGGCGCATGCCAGTGACCGTCTTAACATCAAGACTAAAAAGTCCGTCCGCTTTAGTGGGTCCAAGGTAGCTCGCTCGAAAGCCAGAAACGGGAAAAAAATGTCCCGCAACTCCAAGTTTGAAAGTGCGCGACCAAATCGTGGGGCACAGCGTTCAAAGAGAGGCAGAAGATAAAATAAAGTGAGCGAGTTATTGTTTGTTTTATTGTCCACCTCTGTATTTTATTTATTTTTTATTGTAATTGGTTATTTTTTCGAATTGTGTTTTATTTCGGAAAGTTTTTATAACTAGCCCGCCATAAATTTTTTTTCAATTAAACCTTATGCTTCCTGTCTCTCAAGTGGAGAGATTTAAACGGTAAACATGTGCGCAAAATGAAATCAATTCATAACATGACTTTAAAATTGTAAGTGTTAAGAAATTACGTTCATGTTTGTAACTGAGGTAGAACAACACTCTCGGTGTAAACTATTCTTGTATTTCCGTTGATAAAGAATAATTTTTCGCCAGATTTTTCTTCAAATTAACGTCGAAATCAGTTCAATGTTAATAAAAACTATTAACACTAACCTACGCGGTCTCGACACTAATTTCTCACTAATCTCTTCAAAAAGTTACAACAATGGAAGTTTTATATAAAAACCTAACATAGTTGTATCGGCGCTGATTAAATAGGCTCATGGCCTATCGCCTATTCTTGTACTTTTCTAGACTTGTTAACAGGAGATTTAGAAACTGCCCTTTTAACCGATTCATTTCAAAACTTAAGGTAAAAATGCTACTGGACTTTTTATTTAGTTCAACTCTAATTACCGTGCAATTCGACGAGCCCTAACGAAAGTATTTACTACCAACTTCAATTCTCATCATCATATCATTTACTTATCAATTAGTAATCGTAGTCATGACCTAGTTTTATCACGTAATTTTGGCAGTCTCTAGGTAGTTGGCACCCATGGTTGAATTAATACAAGGTTGACCCACGGCGACGACGATTTTTTCGCCGTTCTGCGCATGTCTCGTGTGACGTCAACGTGGGCCAAAAATGTAAACAGTGGTGATCGACACGTTGTTTTTGTGCCATATTTGAAATGATATTAAAAAAAATTGACCTCCTCAAAATGGCACAAAAAACT